TTTATGGACACTCTAAGGTACCTCTTTGGAGAGGTTTCATGTGCCATAAATATTCAATAAATATTTATTGAATGTACAGAAGCAGGAGATTTAGCCTTCCAAGTAGCTAGGATAACAGATGTGTGCCACTATGCCTGGCCCAGCTGTGTCCTTAAACATTGCCAACACACTGCTGGGGGCTTGTGGAAGTATCTCTGGACCATTATTGGGGACCATCAGTTGGGAGGAGGTGTCTGAAAGGAAGCCTCTCCTCCTGGTTAGAAGGGAACATCTTTCTGTTTTTTATATTGGCTATTGTTTGGGAAAAGTTGAAGGTGAGGTCTCCTGGGTAGTATTAGATTGTAAATGACTTTTGGTGATCAGAATGGTCCCAAAAGTTGAAACAGGTTCTAATAGTGCTTCTGAGAGGCTCAGAAACTGGAAGAGGTCCTCTAAGAATAAAATGGGCAGTAACGTTTCTTTAAGAAAAGTAGGGAATTGGTGAATGGCACAGGTGACATTGTCCCTAAAAAGTAACCCACCACTTTCCTTTCTCTTGTCACTCTTATAATCCCTACTCCAGGCCTTTTGTCTTCTCATTAGCACCTCCACCAGAGTTGGAGCTGGGGGAGACAGAAGTATTCAGACATGCGCCTACTGCATAGGCACTTCACTGAGTTAATGCCAGGACAGTGCTATCATTCTGTCCAGTTCTGTAGAAAAGCCAGCTTTCACCTCATCACTTAGGTATGATTTTCTTTTTTAGCAGAAAACAGTTTATTGCCAGGCTTCTCTTAACTGTACATTATAAATAGTGTCGGATTAAAAATGTTCTGGATGGGTTAATTAGTGTGGTGACTATTATTAAGCAAACTGCTTGTTAGCATTATGCCTATTTGATCTTGGTATTGATGCGAAGTAATTGACCATAGAGCTACATTTAGAAAAGCCGAAATAAAGTTTTTTTGATTTCTATTATGGCAATAAATTGTTTGTATTAAACATGTCTATGAAAATATGAGTTTCATGGAACAGAGGATCAGAATAGACTTTGTGTGGGATGTCGAATAAGGGTTGTTTTGTTTTTAGAGATATTAATACATTTGTCCAGCCTCCTTCAAGGCCAGTTCTATTGAAATAAAGTACTAAATAAACTGTTTCGGTTTCTGTCTTCATTGTTGCTGTGGAGTATATGAAAACTGAAGTGTTTTTAACTTCCCACAACTAAAGGAGATATCCTGTTAGATTCAGCTAATTGCCTAAATACTTTTTTTGGTGACAATCACTATAATAAATAGACTATTAAAGAAAAAATATGAAAAGATACTATAAACAAGGGAAACATAGCTTGCAACTATCTTCTTTCAAGTACTGGATTGTTATCTATATTATTTATTGGTATTTTGTCCAGTTCCATTATTAAGTTTCCCTAGCCATACTATTTCCATAGGGAATTAATTCCATAGGCTAATAAATTATACCGTCAGGGAGTTTTTCTTGAAATTCAGCTTAAATTTTCCCATTCTTAATTTCATCTCATTACTCCTAGTTATACCCCCTTGTACCAGGCTAAGTAATTATTCTTTTTCCTTGGAGACTCCTATTATATACCCCTCTAGTTGTCACTTCACCAGGCTATTCATATTTAGCTCCTTTAATCTGTCCTCATAAATCAATTCTTCCGTTGCCTTAATCATCATTATTGCTCTTCTAAGAACTCTCTAATTTTCAAACAGATCCAGTTCTCAGGTGCCCCCGATGGAATCAGCATTCACACAGTGTTCTGTTCTACAGACACCGTCTTCCTTTCCTCTTCAACAGGATCCAGAACGAGGGCCATCAGCTTGCTGAGTGAAATCAGCACTTGTCAAACTTGGGGAGGATCTAAGTGGTGTTTTTCCTGTGGCCTACCTGCTTTCAAGTTTTATTCTGATTTTTTTTCAATTTCATTGGATCTGTAAGCTGTTTTGATTCCTGTTCCTATTTATATTCCACATCCTTCCATGTCCCCATTCACTACTACCTATTAAGTCAGTCATCTGCAATCTGTGTTAACGTGGGATTCTCGTCATCCTTGAGAACACTTAGGAAACGTGTTGAATAAAAGCAGAGCTAAAAAGTAAAGAGAAAAAAAAAATGGCAGGGCTAGCACCTTGCCCACAGCTAGATTCCCTGTCAGTCCTCAGTTTCCATTGTTTACAACCCTTCAGCCAATCCCCAGTCTCTTTTAATTTGCAGTTTTGCTTATATGCTGTCCAATACAAATGGATTTGTATGATGGGTCATGGTACTGCTTTCTAAAATGAAGATATGTTGTCTCACTGCCCATTGATTTTTTTTTTCATTGTGAATTCTTATAGACTAACTTTGTAATTCTGTTAAAAATCCATTTTAAGCTTGCTTGGCATTCTTTATCTAACAAACAAATAGGTTACTTTGCTTGTTTCACATTGCTTTCCAGGTATGTACAAATGTTTCTTCTCTTACCATTTGTCCTGTTTGCTTGGCAGAAGGTGAAGGTGTTGTCATTGTCATTTTTTTTTTTAAGTTTACTGTGGTAATCAATTAGAACTTGGGGAAGTTGTTTTTTTAGTTCTTTAGGGCCCCCTCCATATTTTCAGTATTTTTAATTTATTTCAGAAAGAAATATCCTGTAATAATTTTGGACCTGTGATATCAAAAACTGCAATCTGTAAATGTCCATTTTATTTTTAATTTTAATTTTTTTATTAAGTCCAGGTCTCACTATATTGCCCAGATTAGCTTCAAACTCCTAGGCTCAAGGGATCCTCTTGACTCAGCCTCCCAAGTATCTAGGACTATGAGCATGCAGCCCCACATCCAATATTCTTCTCATTTTAAATCAAGAGTTTATTATTTTATTATGGCATATTTAAGATTAGTGCCATTTTGTATTTTATTTATCTGTATACAAGCATCTATTGCTGAGGGTTTCTATGTATTCAGACGATTTTTTCTCCAACTATTTGAAATCAGAATAGATGTTAAAAGTGTTTTATAAAACAAGTGTAGAATCTCCTAGGCAAGCTTTCTGAATCTGGAATGTACATAGTATACTACATGCAGCCAATGACTTTGTGTCCACCTCACCTGGTTCTACACTGTTCCCTAGTCTTACCCATCAGCAGTCCTTTCAGCCCTAGTTAACACCCTCTCCTCATAAACACAGTAACTTATCTCAGTTGGCATCTTCAACCCTATTTCTACCTGTATTCACCTTACTTCAAATGAACACCTGACCCAGGGCTTTAATGACACTCCTGACTTTCCACGTCTTCTAACTGAAACTTTCTTTCTTTCTTTCTTTCTTTACATCATTTTTCTCTTCTCCAGCTTTCAAGAAAGCTAGGTTTATTCTTTTACAAGACCCCACATTTTCCCATACATACCATTAACCAAAAACATTGCATTTTTCTACTTTCATCTTGCAAGGCTTTTCTTTCTCTTCCCCAGAAGAGAAAAGCTTCCTTCCCTAGAGATGTCCCCAAAGTGAATATCCCTAAGTTCTCCTATCCCATTTTAAAAAGTTCACCCTTGCATCCCCACCCTTCTTGCCTTATTCCCTTTCTCTGACTCTCTTTCATACAGGAAACCCTAATCTCTTGAAGGGTTTCAGCCAATGCCACTCCACAGGGACTCCCCTGGAGTAGCCACATGATCTGGGACAGAATTCTTGCTGGAGTATGCTTCAGGCTTCTCACACACCTTTTTATACATTCTTTGAATGTTCTTGATTCATTTCCACAGTGTGATAATAACTCCCAAATTCTCTTGCAGCTCTTCCAAATGTTGCTTATTAGTCTCTTTTTATGGTTTTTCTTTCTGACCTGGCTGCTAAATGCACATATTCTTCTTGACTTCACTTAGCAACCCAAGAGAAGCAATCTCCACATAGACCTGAGGGGGCCCTGGGTTGCCTGACCTGGCCTACCACCCCAGGCTTCCAGCCCATTCTTTTTAGGTTGCCTATTATTCCCAGAACAGTTATGTGCCTGCACATAATTTCCTTTAATCCCTCTGGTCCCTCAATCCAGAACTTCCCCAATTTGCAAAATCTTTCAGTCAAATCCTTTTTAATCCTTTACTGACCCCCAACTCAGGATGAATCTCCTGTTCTCCTCAGGTTAAAAAAAAAAAAAAAATGAAGTGTCCATTGTGCATCTCGTGTGTTCCAACATAGGTTAGTTGGGTATTCACACATCTCTCTTCAACTCTGTTCATGCATTCTTGGTTTATTCCTCATTTTATGGAGACCCCTTTGAGATAGATCCTGTATTTGTTATGTATGACTCACAGATTTTAGGCTATAGTAGAATTTTTAAGATTTCATTTTGTTTACATTCTTTTATCAATAAGCAGATATTGAACTCTGAATCCAGACAAAGCATTCTGGAGGGATGCCGGAGAAATGAAAATGGAAAAGATATTAGAATATACTTCAAGAAATATCAGCCAGGATCAGTTTAATAGTATTTACTGTATAACAATAGTATTACCCTAATACAACAGTATTACTGTACAAGCACTGCACATTGTCTGGCCTCATAGGTGGTAAAGAATACAGAACAGTAATGTGAGCAGAAATGGCAAGAGTTAACCAAGGAAGTTTCCAACATTTATGTAGGACAATGAACAAGCAAGTTGAAACCCAGTGCTAAGCTATGTGGTGATTGGAAGACAAAAAATGAAAATCCAGAAAGATGAGTGACGGAGGAGTAACAGTCTCTGTGATCTTGTATTTTATGTATGGGCAGTGTAGGTTTCATAGCCACAGAAACTCTTTGGAAACCATTCAAATACAGTCTAGTTCAATTTGAAACCTTTGATTCTTTTCTTAGTAGCACATACTTGTTGCTCTTTTTCTAGAAAAAAAATTTTTTATATTGGTTTTATCTTTTTCAGTTTTATACATAATCATCATGTCCTTACGGGAAGGTAAGGGACAAATCTTACTTTTTTTTTTTTCACTAAAAGCATATTGCATTCCCTTTTTGTAACAGATTCATGCCCAAGCACAAAATAACCCATTTAAAGAGGATGCTCAGCCTTAAAGGAAATGGCGGTTCTGCTCCATCCATGGCCTGTCCTTCCCAACAGGAGCAAGGAGATTCTGAGAATTTACTGAAGAATTTTAATTCAGAGTATAATGAACACTTTGACCTTGATACTGTACAAGAAAACCTGGATGATTCATCGATGCAAGAGCCAGACTTGAGACAATCCAACTGGTCTGATGATTCAAGCTCTCATTGTGGGGAAAATGAACAAAATCTGACTCTTAATACCTGTGACACTCTGCAAGGAATTGATGATCAGCAGAGACCACTGCACATTGTTTGGCCTCATAGATGGTAAGTCAAGACATGCCAATTTAGTAAGTTGTAGAACTAGTAATAGAATATATATTTTGATGATTAATTTATTAATTCGCTGACTTTATACCTTTAGAAAAATCATTTTAACATAGTAGTACTAGTAATATAGTGGCAACATGCTACTACTCAAGATCTTTACATTAATGATTGTGTGTTTAGATTAAACTTGAGTTACAGACAATTGTTTCCAATGATTTGCTCAACTAACAATAGTAGCCAGACACTTCTAGTAAATTGAATTTTGTTCAAGAAGTTTCAAAGTATCAACATATAAGAATAGGATACCATTTTATATAAACCCACACGCAACGTTGTCACAGCACTGTTTCATTTGTATACATTGATAAAGCAGTATTACTGTTAAGACAAGAACAATTTCCATTATTTACCACTACTTTGACCAGTTTCAACTGGATGGCTTTGTTTTACTTGTCATAATAAATCAGTACACTTGAAACAGTTTCCTTTCTTCCAAATGCTTCTGTATATTGCTAAGCAAAATACTGTCTTTCCGAATCTTTTCTAAACAGAGGAAAATCAACTGCAACATATAATCCCACCAAATATAAACTCATAAACTTAACCATGGCTTCTATAAATTAGGATTTAAGGAGGTAAAATGTCCTGATAATCTGGTATTAGGCATGAACATTTTAATCTAGTTTTTATTCCTCCCAGTTAGTTTAATCTGCGTGTGGCCTGATTAGAGTTCACTTCCCCCACAGATTATGGTCTCTTTATTGCAGCGTTGCTGGGCTGATCATTAGGTCCGATTTTCTGAGAGCAACTGTTTGCAGGTGAATTAATAAGCACAGCACACCGGCCGGCCAAAGCGCCTTTGCCGAGGATTTGACTTCCAGCACATTAAAACTCCAGAAGCTCTCCCGGTTGATCTGCAGCATCTGGTACCTAAAGGGATTTTTGTCTTTGATTCTAAATGTATGAACATAAAATTTAGGCATTGAAAGTTGATGTGGAATGAGTTTTTGGATTTGTTTTTTCCTCATCACACTTCCCGCATACCCCCTCTAAGGGAATAACGTTTATTTGGAAATCATATTTTACTTAGAATGTAACAGTGTTCTGTATTCTTTTGTGTTAGTTTAAAATGCACTGGGTGTGGATGAGATTAACCTGTTTCAAGGTAAAATACATGACCTCGTTTACTCCCTTCAGAACAGCCAGTTCTTTTATTACACCAATCTTTAGTTGTCTCTGAAAAGAATATTTATTGCAAGAAAATCAGTTCTAAAAAGTTTGGTTCTGGATTGTCATAAAAAATGCTAAATTAAATCATTTCTAGACTGCTTTTACAAAACAGCAATATAGAGGAAAGAGTGAGAGAACCATGTTATTCAATACTTTGCACAAAATAAGACAGAGCTATGTTAATAAAATTAACAATATTAAATTGAATAATTCCCTCTCTTCCTTTGTATATTTTTGCTTTAATTTAATTTAATTGCCTAAAGTTAGTTGCTTAAAGAGATGCAGCATTATGTTTGTGCACATTCTTATTGTTAAAGCTAAATTATTTTTAATTTGGAGAAGAGGGAAAAAAGCCGCATCAGCAAGAGTAAATGCCAAAATATAAAAGTAACACATTCATCCTTACGGGTAATATAGTAGAACATTGGAAACTTGGAGGTTGCCAGACACATAGCTAACATTAGGGCTAATTTTGAAAATCTAGCGTGCAGTCAATTTTACTGATGCCTGGGGACATACAAGGTAGAAGCTGACAAGAGAACTAATTTTGTTTGGGTTATTTACTGCTATGCATCATCCGCGGGTTCCCGCCTGACACACAGCTATATGAAGGGGGATATTATCACACACTAAAAATTTATGTTGACATTCGATATTTGTTCAATATGTCAGCAGTATTACTTTCATAATCAAAAGAGTAAGAAAAAGAGAAAAGAAAAGCACTTTATGCTCATATAGATATATCTTTTTAATAACAGTCTATAAGGTTAATATAGTTTACCTTTGAGAGTATACAATGAAAACAAGCAGGGTTAGGAGGGGAAATGACAGAAAGCATCAACCCGAGCTGTTTGTTTGCCATTACCTAAGCGAGCCATGTCAGCTCTCTGGCCCGCGTCTGATAGCTATTTGTTGTACAGAGAGCACAGCATAAAAAAAATATCAAACTCTTAATACTATTGTGTGCCCATAACCATCTGTCACTGCTAGCCTGGAGATGAGAGGAAGATTACGAGGAATAAACACTGAGCCGCCGAGCATTGGTAAAGCCTTCGGGCAAAAAACTCTTGTGGGGACATCAAAGACATTCTAATTCCGAGGCAGTCAAGGATTACAGTGTGTAACCTGTGCTGACAACAGATAAATGACTGGCAATATTGTGCCAGAGCTGTTGGGTCCTGCATGGAGTACTGATGATGATGATGATGATGTTATCTTGCAGAATGGACTCTGCTGGGATAATTTTATGATAAAACACTTTTTTCAAATGCCACTGGGTCTAGGCAGACATTTACTAGCTACAGGGGTAGCAATCAGTTTCTTCAAAATTTACTGTTCTAAGCCCATTAGAGTTCCAGCGCAGCAAGACTCTTCAATGAAAATCTAAAACGCCTATATTTTCTTTAGGAGAATATATGCAAATGTTGGGAGCTGAACTCCTACCCTTTAGTGGTAGATGCCTTATCATCTGATTTATGTAAATTTGCTCATAAAAATACAGTTTATTTTTAATTGGTGAATATGAATTAGAAAATTAAGATTCTGGTTCAGCATTCATCAAACATCCCTAGCTACAAGCACACATTTATTTAGACCCCTGGTTGTATGGGTAGAAATCATATCACTGACCAGTCAATGTGAATCGTATTCTAAAGGAAACCAGGGTTTCCACTGGAAGGACCAAGGTTTTGACTCATCTGCAAAAGAACGAGTTTGAGCCTTCTGTTTTTCATGTTGTTGTCAGTATTCCAAGTGATTTCACCTGCTTGAAGGGGGCTTTTCCTTGGAGTTGCCTGCAGGAAGGTCTTCAGTCTGTTTCAAGTTTGCCTTGGCCATGCACATTTTCCAGAGAGAAGGTGTTTTGGGGGCAGGAGAAAGCATCAATGGTTGTTTCCCTTGTAAACATAAAGGAGAAATAGACACTGGAGAGGGCAACAGGGTTGTAAGATCCTGTCATTACCAATGCCGAACAAAACAAAAATAAAACCCTCCTCCTTATCATAAAAAATATGCCCATGATATCATACAGTTGTGGTAGCCAACTCTAAAAATGAAGTGATGCTGACCTCATTGTGTTAGTTCCACACTGGGATCATGAATGGCCTAAAATATAGTGTTAGCCTCTAACATATCTTGTACTAAGTCAACCAAATGTAGAGCCTCCTTGCTAGGATATGTATCAAAATCAAAAGTGACATTTTCTAGAAGATACATTCTGGCTTTAAATCTGTGTTAAAATGTCTGTGCATGAGAACAGGCCCTTAAATGCAAGGCTTGCCCCCTCTCTTCAGTCTTTCTGAATCTGAGCTTGTCAAGGATTATAGTGTGCAACCTCTGCTGACAGTAGATAAATAACTGACAGCATTTTAGCAGAGTTGCTGGGTTCTCTGCAGAGTAATTTGTTTTCTCCTTTCTACCCAGTCTTTAATGTTTTGTTCTAAACATCTACAGCAAAGCACACTTAATAGAAATGACTTATAGGGAAAGACCTGTAAAAACTCCACTGCAATTTGCAGAACTTATTTTTTAACTATTTTCTTTCCAAATGTTACACAAACACTGTGACATTGCAGCGGTTTCCAACCTTTATGTAAATGTTCTCTGAACTGTAATGGTCACAGAGACACACTGCTGGAGGGACAGAGAACACAAACTTAGAAGACATCCAAAGCTCATTGCCCTTGTTCTCAAAACATTTTCATCTCAAGACCCTCCTCACACTTCTAAAACTTGGTGGGACACCTAAGGGTTCTTGTTATTGGTATTGTAACTATTAATATTCACTGTATTAGGAATTAATATTAGGAAAAAGTTCTTAAATCTACATTTAATCATTTTTTTAAAAAAACAATAATCAGCTAAGTACATGGTAATGTAAAAAGTGAAGTTTTATGAAAATAGCTGTTTTCCAAATCAAAATCTAATACTGCAAAGAGTGATCTTATCATACATTTATGTAAATCTAATGCCTAAGTGGAAGATAATCGAATTCTTCCATCTCTTTAGGTATTCAATCTATTGTAATATGTTGTTTTGAAATTTATGGAGAAATCCTCCTCTCAAAAAGATCTCTTTGGAAAAGAGAATGTTTTAATGACCTATTCTTGTACTGTTGATATTCTTCTTTGAAATGACACAAGAAAAGGTTAGTCACAATGTGGAGTCTGAGACCACGCAATGAGTTCTTCATGCTCTGGTACTTGCAGTTTGAATGGATTTTGTGGCATCATGCATTGGTCATTCAAAGAATATAGGCTTCCTCAATAATGCAGATCTTTCGAATGTTAACACAATTCATTATACAGTTTCAAAAACTCACATTTGTTAGCATCACCAAAAATGTCTCATAAGAGACATTTTTGAGTCTTGGGAATATATTAAGCTCATAGTGTAGATATAATTTTTCAAAAATTCTAATGGTCACTTAGAAGCTTGAATTTATAATTACAGCAAATGTATTAGTTGTTTTCCTTGAAATAGTAATAGATTCACATTGTTCATATTTGAGAAAATGTCTGCCAAATTTTCTAGTGTGATTAACATAGTTTTAGTTCTTTCAATTAAACTCAGTATTTCATGGAAAAGGCCAGTAGTTTAACTCAGAGTACCAACAATTATACAATACTTTTCCTCAGGAGAGCCCATATTGTATCTTGGTGTACAGTAAAAGTGCATTATATGTATTTCAAATTGTATCACAGAGACTATTAAAAGACATCTAACAAAAGGTTGAATTTTATGAAATTAATAATTTTTCCCACTTCTTC